AAAAACAAAATAGCAAAATCGCGAAATCCGCGGCCAGATCTATAGTCCTTTTGGCCGCGGATTTTGCTATTCTGAAATCTTGAGGGCCTCGCGGCACAGCATAGCTCACCAAGTGGCGGCCCCTACTCATTTTGAGAGTTCGTTTTTGACTTTTCCTTTCTTTTCCGGCGGGCGGGAATTCGAACATTTCGTCATTTTCCCAAAAACAAAAAAAAAGACATTTCGTCATTGCTGCGCCTGGTCATTCCACGTGTTGATGGCATGACGGCACCTTACTAAACGTTTTTCTTCTTTTTCGAACTCTCCACACCAGTGCGGAGAAGGCTTAGGGCCTCGCCACACCACTGGCGAAACGAAAAAAGAGAGAATGCATCTTCCCAGGAAAGTCGTAAGATGCGTCCGTTGCTATTCGTAGTAAGGGATGCGTCTTGCCACGCTCTGTGTGAAGATGCACTCGGACTTTTTCCGTTTCGAAAGGCCGTGTGGCGAGCCTCTTAGGGACTCGCCACATAGGCTTTCACCGGCTTTCGAAACCCGCTAACGCTAAGCCGTGTCTTCGTCACACAGCCTTTTTTTTTTCTTTTTCCTTGAGAAGCTGGTCACCTTTATTGGGAATAGCAGAAAATCAGACTAAAAGAGGCCCTTTTAGGCCTCAGGGTTTCATGCTGGATACTGGTTTCCTTTGTTGGAGGTCATATAGCCATAAGGAGGATACATGCATGGTTAAACCACCACTACTTGGCCCAGCTATCCGCCCCGGAAAAAAATAGAGTAGAAACGTTTCTAGTTGGATGAATTTGGGCGCTCCTGTAGTGGCCCGTACGTTTCCTAAAATTGCGTAGCGTTAACGGGCACGACTTTAGGAAGTACTGGTGGTTTAATTAGAGGAATGGACTTTAGGAAGTACTGGTGGTTTAATTAGAGGAATGGAAGTGATAAAAAGAGGCCTGACCTCTGTATTGGGAGCTTGGACACGTTAGCCTGATTGGAGAGATGGAAGAACGCTTTCAAAGGATTCCTTTCCTTTCTGAATTTCAGGACAGTTCTTTTGGATGATTTTTGAGAGAAGGGACGCTGGACCCTGTTTCCAGCTGCCTTTGGCATCTGGGTCACCTGGTTTTCAGTAGATATTCCTCAGTTAACTCCCCCTTTTTCACTCTGAGTTAAGAGATTATTTTTGGAAAGTGTTTGGTTTAGAATGGGACGCTGGACCCTGTTTCCTTTTTCTTTTCTCAGTCTCAGCCCCGTCGTGTGGTGGCCAACGCCGCAATGCCTCGTCCACATCCGAGGTTAGAAAAAGACGGAAAACTGGAGTGCAGTTGCAAACTCGGCCTTGCGACTTTTGTGCATGTCAAGAGTTTCAACTGCAGTTGAAACTTGGGACGGTACTCGAATCCAAAAATAAAAGCAGTTTGAAATGCATTTACAAACTGCTTTCGTGACTGCGCCCTAGTTACCCCTTATTTTTGGAAAGTGTTTTGTTTAGAATGGGACGCAGGATCCTGTTTCCAGCTCCATTAGGAAGTACTATTTGGAGAATTGATGATAACCGAGCTTGGCTCCTCAGCGAAACTGGCTGAGGCTGCCAGGATAACTCCGGGTTGAATTGTGAGGTCCCCGGCCTCATCCCATTTTATTATCTGCAATAAATCGAAAAGATTTCCAAAAAAAATTAAGAAAAAAAAAATCAGACGAGGCCCGGGACCACACAATCTTTCGAAACAAGTTCTTTGGAAAAGTTTCGAAAGGTGTCGGATTGGCAGGAGTCGAAAGTCATTTCCAAGAGATGAGATCGGTTTTTTTTTTTTTTCTTTTTTTTTTTTTTTTTGAAGAGATGAGATCCTCCCGCCTGTCACGAGCGTTTCCTCGAAAGACCTCGAGTGGTCTTGTGAGTGGTCTTGTGAAACGGCCCACTCGAAACGGTATATTGGCAAACAAAGAAAAAAAGAAAAAGTGGAGATTCCAAGGGCCTGGCTCCACTACCCTCGACATGCACAAAAGACAAATTCTGACCGTGTATCTTTCCATGTTCTAGGCAAAGATTCACTCTCTCGTTTTACACGCGTCTATAGCAGTGGAGCCAGGCCCCATTGTGCATATGGGCCTTGATGCACTATGCTAGACACATGAAAATTTTCTAGAGTTTGTCTAGAGCTCTCAGACTCCTGGATTGGCATCAAGTGCTGTTGTCGCTGCACTTACTCCGGACTCTCGACTCTCGTGACGGACATACACTACACGACAGGGCAGCGACGATTTGTCCACCGAGACGGGATGCCAACTCTCGAATTTGCAAACCGCATGAAGGGACCCATCGGCCTCATTTGAAAAAAACGATCCTGCAGGCGGGAACTGTGGAAACTTCAAGAGCTCGGCCGATGGGCCATTTCTGACACCTCTTGAAGCGCAGGACCAAGAGCAGTTTTCCACAGTTAGTGCAACGATGACTCATTCTCGATGTTTTCGAGAGTGAATCTGACAGCTCTTGAATAGAAATCCAGGACACGACATCAGCGGTGATGAACTCTTGATTTTTCAAGAGTCAAGAATCGTGCAGCAAGGCCCTATAGAAAGGCCTCGGTGTTTCAAAAGTCTGTGTGGTGAGGGGGGGGGCCTTTTGATGAGCAGACTTTCAAAAAAAGTCGGACACCTTTCGAAAAATGCCTTTGTTAGAAAGCCTATGTGGCGAGCCCCAGTACTTGGCCCAGCTATCGGCCGCGGAAAGAAAATAGAGTAGAAACGTTTCTAGTCGGATGAATTTGGGCGCTCCTGTAGTAGCCCATACGTTTCCTAAATGGTGGCACGTTAAGGGGCACAACTGTCTTTTTTTTTTTTTTTTTTTTTTGCTCAAAATCAATGCATTATAAAGGTAACCAAGAGGTCGGGGACCTCACAATTCTACCCAAAGTATCTGGCAGCATGAGCCAGCTTAGCTTACAGGCGCAGCCTGCGAGTTATGCCATTGGCAAACTCCAACCAACTTAGTAAAACCAGAACCAAAACCAAAACAGGGCTGGAAAATATCAAGGCACAGAAGGGCCAACACATAGGCGGCTGTCCTGAAATTCCAGGCCCTGGGAAACAAAAATCCTGCTACAAACCCAGAAAGCCTCACAAACCGAAAAAACAGGAAAGTAAACCACGCTGCAAGCCTTACAAAAACCCACACAATACCCAAAAACCGAACTCTGCTCTAGCCTACCACCCTATCCTAGACTAAACTACAGGGTAATACTTCTTTTTTTTTTGAGAAAACTAGGGCGCGGTCAGGGTTAGAGTTTGACAATACGTTTCAAACTGCCGTTTTGGAGTCCAGTCCCCTCTAAAGTTTACACTGCAGTCCAAACTCCTCCATCGCGTGGCTGTCGCACGACAGAGTTTGTAACTGCAATCTAGTCATCCACGTCGGAGGGCCAGGCAGTTTTCCAAAGGTTGAGTTATGGCGTAGAGGTTACCCGGATGCTTACTTCGACAACTCTTTAATTAACTTCTCTAACAAATTCTCTGGTGTCTGGCAGGAGTGGGTAGACATTCTGACCGGATGGGAAACCCGACCGTACTGGGGGAAAGCCCGAAGTTAGGGCCTACATTTTGCCGGAACAATTCTTTGTTTTGAGTCTGAGCCTGAATAAGGCCTGTGACAGTGAAACAGTTAGGATGATGTAGTTCGGCGGTACCTTCTTTTTTCAGAACTCAGGTAGGATGATGAAGTTTGACGGTACCCGACTTTTCGGAAACTAAGCCCGAACAGGGCCTGATGGTAACAACAGATAGACCCGTTTTTTACCTACTTATGATTGAGTTCTTTTTTATACAGGCTGAAGCAAGTCAGAAGGATAAAATGGTGTTTGTCTTGAGAATTGGTGACGGCCGAAAGTGGCGGTGTGATGAATTGCTTTGGGAGTGACGAGAACCTTGATACATTGAACCTGTCCAAGTCTTAGCTAGTTCCTAGGAATAGGTTACTACCTTACGCGAGTTAAATAGGATTCAATAGACTTAACTACCTACTTGCGTCGATTTGTCATTACTCCTCTTTCTTCTTCTTCTCTCCTCTCCTCTTCCTCCTCTTCTTCCTTCATCTTCTTCTTCTTCTTCTTCTTCTTCTTCTTCTTCTTCTTCTTCTTCTTCTTCTTCTTCTTCTTCTCAATCTTCCATTTGACTTCTGTGTGTCTCTTGGATCAGCTACCATGACGCTACTTGGATGTTGGCATGGTCGATTTTGGTTGTTGACAACAACAACTTTGATTCACAAAGTAACCGTCGTAGAGGTTACACTATGGCTGCGTGGCTTTGCAACTTTCTTGTACCACTGCTGACGCTTCAAGCATGGCTATGAATGGAGCTGCCAACCGAGGATGCTACAACTGCGGACAGATGGGGCACTTCATGCGTTTCTGCCCATTTCCGCCTCGGAGTCAAGTCGCTAATCCAAACTCTGCTACAGTACCTGTACAGACACTTATTCTCACAGCGCCAAACCAAGCTGGAGCGTACAATGGGAATACGGGGCAGTATAATCGAGGAGGTGGTGGCTGGAACTATACCAACCAGCGCATTGCTAACTTGGAGGAGCAAGTATCGAAGTTTAAAATCCAGTACAACGCCGAAGAGGAACGGGAGAAGATCAAGAAAGAAGAGGAGGAACGAAGATTGAAGATGGAGGAGGAAGAGAAACAGAGAGAACAGGACAAAAAAGATTGTGAAGCCGCATACAAGAAGATGGCAGACGAGATGAATGCACGTTTTGATAAAGTATCCGAAGTATTGGAGAACAAGAAGACAAAGGATAGCACAAGTGAGATCATGAAGTTGAAGGTACAGATCGAAAAATTACAATAGCGGAAGGATCAACCTTCTAGTAGCAATGCGGTTATCGAGAACGATACGATGAGGAGACTTAGAGAGTTGGAGGAGTTCAAGAGAAGTGCACAATCTGAAGCGGACCGACGGGTGACCTTGCTTGAAGAAGAAGTCAACATGCTGAAGCTACTTCACAAACGTGTTCAAGACGAGGCAGAATCCTGGAAACAAGAGGTCCTTCGGCCTGGAAAGAAACGAGGCAGTATTGCTATCGAAGCATCGCCAACTTTGCTCGCCGATTCCAACAACGGTGCGTCGTGGCAACGTTGCAGAGTTAGACGAAGTGCATTGCAAGGAGGTACAATTCCTGAAAGAGCTGAGGAGCCGAGATCTCAACGACAGGCGCATTGCGAAGCAGGAAGCCGAGTTGATGAAGCAAGGGAAAAAATGGCGGTGCAAGAATTGGAAAAATTGAAGGAGGTTGTTGCTCGATTAAACTTGGAAAAGCAGTGTGCTGGGACTACGAGTAATCTAAAAAGCAAGATGGATGTCGTCGCTCCGGGTTCTGGAAGAACAAAAGGGAAAAGACCTGCCACGACGAGCAAGGCAGCGAAACAAGCTAATGACAAGCAAGGCTTCATGGCCGACGCACGGCAAAACTTGAAAGGTTTGAAGAAAGTTGCAATGAGGGCGTTGTGTATACAACACTAGAATGCACGAAGGAGGCGATAGTCATGCCAGGTGCGTTCGTTGCATTTGACTCGGTGGCTGTGGAAGAAGTTCCGGATGACTCTGCGCAGAGTGCAGACGTTGCAGAAGCCAGCAGGGAAGACACTGTTTCTTAGCTGAGTCCTCGAACGTTGCTCAACTGTGGCAATTTGCTTGTCGATGTAGACATGTTAGGTCCACCTCTTCTGAGATTCTGCGATGTAAGTTGCTGAATGTTTTTCTGTGTATGATCGTTCTCCAATTGTCCCTTGCTGGTCAAATTCCTTGGGCTACTAAATACGTTAGTTTCACAAGTCGACTGTTGGTGAATGATTATGATTTCGATAGATATGATGGACCACTCGTGTATGCACTGATATCACCATGGAATCGACACGTGTATATAGGAAGCACCTCTAGGAATCTGTACACCCGATGGCGTGAACACGTTTACAAGGCTACTAACGAAAAACCTTAGGAAGGTCAACGGAATGAGAAGTTATATCAGTGGTTGAGAAGGTGTGGTACGGAGTCTTATGTTCTTATTCCTATATGCGCATGTAGTGAAGACGATCGCTTAGATTCTGAAAAGTTTTTTATTCATCATTTTTCTGCTTCACTGAATGCACGTGACAAACCACGGCGTCATCGGAGATGTCGCATAGGGCAGCGTGAAAGACTACGCAAGAAACGACTATGCACGCAAATTTTACCAGTTCTTGTGCCAACAACGAAAGCAGTCTTGATTTTCCACAGCAGTACGGGTGTGGTTTCCACGAGTTTGCTAAAAATCCTACGTCACTGCGCTGATAATAATGTCAATCGATGTGTTGTGAAATGTACGGGAGAAAGTGTGTTTGTCAATTCTTGGAAAGTTATCAAGCGTTGTTTTGGAGGTTCGATTGTTGAATGTGTACATGGTCATAATCAACTTCGGAAATCACGAGGGTGGATTGTTGATGGGTCTACTTTGAATTTTATCTCTGTTGCAACCTATTTGAATAAGTCTCTAAGTCTGAAAGCGCCATTAGCTAGACTGTTGAGTCAACCAGTAGGTAGATTGAGCCTTGGCGGTTGGAGTTTCGATCAGATCGTGTATGGCTTCAGTACGGTACGTTCGTTTTCTGAGAAACGCACTCGATGTCGTCTTCGACACATATTGTCCAGCCATGCGAAAAGTCGGTTTCAGATACAGATACGGCAGCGAGTTGTCGTTCGCATTGCCTATAACGAAAGTATTAATAAGTCAAAAACTAGGAAACTGTGTGCCAGCGTCATTAGGTCCCTTGATATCTCTTGTGCCTGGAAAGACTTTTTGATTCGTAGAATTCGAATAGTATGGTGCCGTAACAAGACTGTGGGAGACCTGTTCTACAATTTCCGTGACTATTCTAGAAAGGAGTCTGTGAGCTGCATATGTGACAGTCGTGATGGCTGTTTACCTAGACGAGGAGGGAATGTTGCTTTTCGTGCTAGTGATGTTGCTTTCCTCCCTTCGATCTTCTCTAACTCACGTAATATCCTGGTATCTCCTATCAATCGTTTATTTCCATACTACGTCGACAAATCATTTCTACCTTCCAACAACATTCTTCCCTACCTACGGTCCAATTGTCGTCTGTTACGAATGAACTCGTTGCTGGATGTCTCAACACTTTTGTTCCTTCTTTGTCGAGACCCTCTTCCTCTTCTTCCTCTTCTTCTTCTTCTTCTTCTTCCTCTTCTTCCTCTTTTTTTTTTTTTTTTTTTTTTTTTTTTTTTTTTTTTTTTTTTTTTTTTTTTTTTTTTTTTCTTCTTCTTCTTCTTCTTCTTCTTCTTCTTTACCTATCCTCAACGATCTGGTCGTATGCCCTATCGATCACAATCTGGGTGATTCCTATATCTACTGTCCAGTTGTCTATCGTGGGGGGTTGAGAAAATTTTTTCTTAATAACCCGACTTTTTCCCTTTGCAACTCTGACGAGAAGACGATTCTGTCCAATTCACGTTCTGAATACACTTCGAAGGGTCTTCAGGTTGTAGCGAAATGGAAGACTAAAGGGTTTTTGGGGAACGCGTATTGTATACCGAAACACAAGGACGTGGAAAAATGGCGCCCAATATGTTCGTCTCATTCTGAGTGTTCATCTACTGCGGGAAAACGGATTTCAACTGCTGTCAATCAATTACTATGGTCTATTCCCCCCTCTCTTCACTTTAATATGCGTGCCACATCTGATCTTATGACGAAAATTGCTATGATCAACAAGGGACTTAAAAAAAATGACTTTATCACAGGTGCTTCTTTCGACATCAAAGAGATGTTTTCCAATCCCCAACACTCTTCTATTCTCGACGCGGTTAGATGGGTCTGTGATTACTGGCTAGGCAAAGGATATAAAGGTGTTTTTGTCGCTATTAGAGGGAAGCAAGCCAAACTTCAAAAAGGCAAGATAGCAGGGGGTTGGATTGCGATCAATTTTTTCGTGATCTATGACTTTGTCCTGTTCGAACTTGAGAACACATATGTCAAAGCTGGCGGTAGTATTCTTCGTCAAACTATAGGTATCCCAATGAGGAAATCTTCTAGTCCTGCTCTAGCCTGTCTCCTTTGTGCCTTTAACGAATTCATGTTCCTCTCTTTTGTTGATAGGATTCGACCTCGGGTGTTTGGATGTAGACTGGAAGATGATGTATCATTATTTGTGGTGTGTAATTCACAAAAGGGTGTGACACGTGAAGATGGAGCTCAACTTATTCAACGGTTCTCTACCTGCTACGATAAGAGTTTAACTTTGGAACAGATGAATTCTGGTCACGGCTGGGATTTCCTTGGATGTATCGTCAAGATTTTTGAAGACACAGGAGGAGTAGCGTGTTTACCACTCCACAAGAATCAGCGGCAATGGAGCAGGGAGAAGCTAATGTTTCAGAGCATACAAGATTTCAACTCATACTCCAGTAAACAGCAAAAAATGGTTGTTATTGGATCATTCCTACACAGAGCAAAAGCCTTCACCACCATAAAAGGTACAAGATTTCCTTTTTTATTTGCTTTCAAGGTTGAGTTATGACGTAGAGGTTACCCGGATGCTTTCTTCGACAACTCTTCAATTAACTTCTCTAATAAATTCTCTAGTGTCTGGCAAGAGTGGGTAGACATTCTGACCGGATGGGAAACCCGACCGTACTGGGGGAAATCTCGAAGTTAGGGCCTACATTTTGTCAGAACAATTCTTTGTTTTGAGTCTGAGCCTGAATAAGGACTGTGACAGTCAAATAGTTAGGATGATGTAGTTCGGCGGTACCTTCTTTTTTACGAACCCAGGTAGGATGATAAAGTTTGACGATACCCTACTTTTTGGACACTAAGCCCGAACAGGGCCTGATGGTAACAACAGATAGACCCGTTTTTGACCTACTTATGATTGAGTTCTTTTTTATACAGGCTGAAGCAAGTCAAAATGATAAAACGGTGTTTGTCTTGAGAATTGGTGACGACCGAAAGTGGCGGTGTGATGAATTGCTTTGGGAGTGACGAGAACCTTGATACATTGAACCTGTTCAAGTCTTAGCTAGTTCCAAGGAATAGGTTACTACCTTACGCAAGTTAAATAGGATTCAATAAACTTACCTACCTACTTGCGTCGATTTGTCATTACTCCTCTTTCTTCTTCTTCTCTCCTCTCCTCTTCCTCCTCTTCTTCCTTCTTCTTCTTCTTCTTCTTCTTCTTCTTCTCAATCTTCCATTTGACTTCTGTGTGTCTCTTGGATCAACTACCGTGACGCTACTTGGATGTTGGCATGGTCGATTTTGGTTGTTGACAACAACAACATTTTCCAAAAAAAAAAAAAAGAAACAAGAAGAAAAAAAGAAAGGCTCGTGACACTTTATCTTTCCATGTTCTAGAGGAAGATTCACTCTCAGTTTCCACCATCCAAATGTGCAAAACGAGAGTGAATCTTGGCTAGAACATGGAAAGATACAGCGCCACGATTTCATTTTTTTTGTGCAACGGGGATAGTGGGGTCCAACGAGATACACGGGCCAGGCCGTTTTCCAAAAAAAAAAAGAAGAAACAAGAAGGAAAAAAAGAAAAGTTCGTGGCGCTGTATCTTTCCATATGCTAACAGGAGATTCACTCTCAATTTCCACGATCCAAATATGCAAAATGAGAGTGAATCTTCGCTAGAACATGGAAAGATACAGCGCCATGATTCTTTTTTTTTTTCTGCAACGGGGATACAGGGGCCCAACAAGATACACGGACTGACAACAACGCAGAGGCCCTAGAGGATACACGTGCTGACAACAAAACTTTTTTTTTTTTTTTTTTTTTTTTTTTTTTTTTTTTTTTTCCTTTTCAGATTTCCCTACCTATGCGAGTCATCCTTGGGGCCTCGTGGCGTTGCATCGTTCCATGTTCTAGTGGAAGATTCACTTTCGTTTTGCACGTTTCGAGCTGTCTCTTATACACATCTAGATGTGTATAAGAG